AACCATCTTTTACAACATACCAACACAAATGATCAAGTGACTTTAAAAACATCTTCATTCTAGCCTTCCAGAAAGTGTAGTTTTTACCATAAAAAAGTGGCGGTTTGTTCACAGCGCTCCCCTCGATTGTGGACATCATCGTGCGGATCTTACTCAGGTGTTTAAACCTTAAATGAGCAACTCGGCTCTGATACCAATTGATATTTCTACATAATGGTGTCCAAACACTAGGGGGTGAATAGTCCTTTTAAAAAACTACTTACAACAAAGTTCACCCGACAGATAAAACTGATAAAAACAGATAAGCTCAGGTTATAACAAGTGCAGAATTAAAAGTTCAATCCAAAGCAAATCTAACACAAGATGCAAAATCAACATACAACAAACATAAAGATGAGGTCAAAGGAGTTAGTTCTAAATCTCTACACTAATCAACGAAGCAATCTCCTAGTCCTTGGATCCTTGTTCAACTAGATCAAGATAGATAAAACTCTCTTAATCAATGAACTATGTAACGCCCCGGGATTTCGTCCTCGCTCATTCCGGTGCGCCGAGCACCATACCGGTCTCTAATGTCAATATTGTCCCCCTTTAGTCACTGCGGGCTTTTCAGCAGTAGAGGGTTTTGGATCAGGGTCCACCCATATGGGCTTTCCACAAAAGGCCTTGACATTAGTTAGTGTATGGTTAAGCTTTATCTACCACAATCCATATCCATTCCTTGGCAATGTGGGACTAACATCCACTCATGGGTGTTACAATCCCACCACCTTAGAAATAGAGCCGTCCTCGGCTCTGCTATACAGTACAATCCCAAAATCTCCGACGTTCCCTGCTAAGTGCCAAGTACCTGGCGCTCCCTAGGCCTTTCCAGCGTACTCTTACCTACAACAGGGGACCCGTCGTCGGCTCTGATACCATCTGTAACGCCCCGGGATTTCGTCCTCGCTCATTCCGGTGCGCCGAGCACCATACCGGTCCCTAATGTCAATATTGTCCCCCTTTAGTCACTGCGGGCTTCCAGCAGTAGAGGGTTTTGGATCAGGGTCCACCCATATGGGTTTTCCCCAAAAGGCCTTGACATTAGTTAGTGTATGGTTAAGCTTTATCTACCACAATCCATATCCATTCCTTGGCAATGTGGGACTAACATCCACTCATGGGTGTTACAAACTAAGTAATCCAATCTTAGTTCTAGGTTTGTTGTGAAGTATGAGGGGGTGAATAGAGAAAGAGGCACTCTCACCCTTTCCTCTACCACAATACAAACCAACTAGAAGATTGGTTGGATAGATTGTAGAGATTTCAAACCAACAAACAACATAAACATATAGAGAAAACTTAAGAACAAGGAAGCAAACCACAAGACAAGATTATAGTGGTTCGACAAATGAAGCCTACGTCCACTTTTAAATACTTCCTTGTATTAAGAATCCTAAAGCCAAGGTGAACCTCCTCTAGCTCTACACCACTCCCATTAGTGTTAGATCTACAACTTGAAAGAAATAGAAGCAAGTTCTTTAGCCTCTAACCAAGCATCCACCACTTGGATTTCTTGTAGGGTGTAATCACAATTACCCTAACCTAGATTTGTGAATCTAGGGTTTTTGCCAATTTGTTCAAAGAACAAGAATTGTGGTTTTCTCTCTCTTACAACAACCTCTCAAAGGTGAAATGAGAAAGGAAATGAAGCTCTCTTGGGTTTATAAATCACCCGCAATAAACTCTCACTCAACTCACAAATAATGAACTTGATTAGCTTGAGTGGAGGAAGAAGATGGAAGAATTTCTTACTAAAGCTCTCTCTACAAGTTAAGGTTTGTCTATTGATGCCTTTGGAAGAAATTAGCCAAATCCTTGAGTTTTACAACTCTAAGTGTTGCTTTTATACTTCTAACCCAAATAGATCTGTTGGTCAAAGTCAATTGACCAATCTAGGGTTTTGTTGGAAAAGACCGGAAGAATCAGATTCGAAATAAGCCCAAAATACAGAAAAGCCCATCAATCAGTCAACTGATGACCAAAGTTTTCAAATACCTCCATAAGGTCAGTCGACTGATAAAGAAGGGTATGGGAGGCTCCAAAGGGTAGTCGACTGATGAGTTAAAGCTTGCCCCTCACAAAGGATCAGCAGACTGATGACCAATTAGTACATCACCATTTTCTTGATCTGCAGACTAATGACCAATTTGTAAATCACCAATTTCTTGATCAGCAGACTGATGACCAATTTGCAAATCACCAATTTCTTGCAGCAGACTGAAGGCAAAAATTCCTTAGTCAGTCGACTGATGAGCAATAGTGTGTTGCCTTGATCTTCAGCTCCCGGTTTTTGCCGATCGCGTCAAGTCTTGATGTCTTCAGCTCCGAAGCTTTACATGAACACTCAAACCAAGACTTAGAAATATTACAAGGACTCATTACATATATTACATGTGAAATGACCATTTTGCCCTTGTTTGTCACAATTCACAAGATATGACATTTACAAGAATTACGTGTTTGCAGGTGCGTTTCCCCCGAAAAAGCTTAAAGGAAGCAAAATTCTGCAGAAAAACAGTTTTAAGGAGCCAACTTGACGCAATTAAACGAAGGGGTTAGAGAGCTCGGAATTTAAAGCTCAAATATGCATTGGAAAACTCTCACTTCCTGCTTCAATACTGTCAAGATAGATTGCAGAAAACAAGGATGGAACCAGACCAAAAAGCCTCGTCAAAACCTGTCAGACCTCTTTTGCTACTGGTCGTTTTTTGGGCTTTTTGGGCTCTTTGGCCAACATATTTCTAAAAGGAATTCGGACCCAAGATTTTTATTGAGTGTTCCACGTGATTTAACTAAGAGCTCAACAAAATTTGATCTCCAGAAGCTTCCTACAAGTTATTTAACAAATTGCAAACTCTTTTCTAGCAAGTTTCAAGTAGTTTAGGATTAGTAGGACTCCTCCCTATATAAGGAGAGGAGAGCCACGAAATGCATCATGCTTTGATCTTAAATTGAAGTAACATATTAGGTTTTACATTATTTTATGTTGAAGAAGAAGTTCCATTGATTATATTACAAGTCTGTTTACTTTTCAAGTTCAAGTTCTTTACTTTTTATGCAATTTAATATTCCGTCTTTAAATTCTTGCCTTTTAAATGTCTTTTACATCTACAATCATCATCATCATCATCATCATCACAATCATCATGAGCTAATCGATTCATGGGTTGTTACAAGTGGATTAGGTAAGTAGAAGAATTTACTACAAGTGCGTTTTCCATACTATAAAGGTAATTATTTTATGATTGATCACGTAAAATAGTTTTTTGCTCTTTGTTCTTCATAATAAATAAAAGAGAGATCTTTTTGCATATGTAAAAACTTTCAAGCCTCATACGCCCGTTAGTATATTTTGGCATCGAGAGAGAAAAAATAGTTAACAATTAGTATAAAGAGTTGTAATTCATTACTTGCATGACAGCATCGAGATGAGAGGTACTAGGTCCTGAATACTTCTTGAGGTCGAGTTCCTGGGTCGAGAGCAAGGGAACTCACTACCAACTATTGCTTTGTCAATGAGGGATAGTTGGATGCATGGGAAACAAGCACAAATAGTTCATTTCGATATTTACCTATGAAACGAAGTAATATAATACTCCACATTTCTTTCCATATTCAGAACCTTTATTTTATATTGGTTTCTTTAATTTACTTGCATTTATATTACTTTAGTTATAATTACTCTCAATCAATCAAACTCCTACATTTCGTCAACCATTCATCAATCCCTTTATAAACGACGTCATCCTTCATCGTATTGTTTCTTGTTTGTAGCTAAGTACCAAATTCTTGGGTGAGTGGATAAAATATCCCGATGTTTGCCTCTACACTAGTTTTAGGATTTGTTTAGCTGTTAGAATCATAAAGCTAAGGGAAATACATTTGATTTGAAAACTATTACCGGTAGGACTAATCAGTTGTACGCAGCTTGTAGAATTAGCACTGCTTTTGTCGGTAATAAAAACTCAGTAAATCAAATTGGCTTTGTTGCCGCTCTAAGAAGATCCAAGGTACTTATAGACGAGAATCAACACATTCAAGCCCGCACAACACCGCCCGCCCTTGAAAAATATCAAAAAATCAAAAAAAATCTGGATTTCTGCATTACTTGCCCGGGGCGACCTATTAGCTTTTAGCCAACTAGCGTGAGGCGACCAGCACAAAAACGACAAATTTTTTTTTTATTTTCCAAAAATTTTGAAAATTTCAGAATTTTAAGTTTTTGGACCAAGGTACGTGTTTCAATCACTTTTAAACTATTTACATTTCGTATTTAGCCCATATTGAATATTATTTGCTCGTTTGCACGCGTTCGAGGGAAAAAAGGTACGTGTACTCTCAACACCTCGAATCTCATGTAAGAGGTTTAATTTTCAGTATTTGAAGTGTGAATTGTTTGCTTTGTATCCTTAGTTAATTTAGTTAGTATAGTTTATGCTTTTACGTTCTGGTCTTAGGTATACTCCTTTAGTTAATAGTAAGTTAGAAGTTAGTCCGATAGATTTTAATCTTGATAATAGTCCTCTAGGATTAGCAAATAGTGCTTTTCAATTAGATTTTGATAGTAGCAATTCGATCCCTCCTTTTGAAATGGTTAACCCTGAAATGCCACTTCATGATTTTTTTGCTCCCTTATCTACAGGACAACCTAATTGCATCGTTTTGCCCGCACTCAAAGATGGAGCTGATTTCAAACTTCACTATGGCATATGACGCCTAAGTTCTCTGGTCATGAGCGAGAAGACCCTTATACTCATTTACATCAATTTGTCCAAATATGTTCAACTCTTAATGAAACTAAACAAGGAATTCATGTTATTCGTTTAAGGTTATTCCCATTCTCTCTAAATGACAAAGCGTCTCAATGGTTACATTCTTTAGCTGGAAATTCTATCCGCACATGGGATCAATTGAACACAAAATTCCTTACTAAATTCTATCCCATGTCCCAAACAATAAAGTTAAGAAACAAATTTCAAATTTTTAGACAAAAAACGTACGGAAGAATTTTTTGAAGCTTTGGAAAGATTTGGGGAGTTACAAATACAATGTTCACATCATCAAATTCCTATGGAAACGTTAGTTCAATGCTTTTACAATAGTCTAAACCCTGCGACTCGTGCTTTAGTAGAATCTATGAATGAGGGTCGATTCCTTAGTAAAACCGTAACACAAGCTAATGATTTCTTTATAAAACTTGCAGACAACTCTCAATATTGGGGAAACTCACCTAATCCTATCCCTGGAGTCTATGAAGTTAAAGTCATATGCAAATGTCACCCCTATGTCTAGCTAAAGACGTAAAATTAAGCTCTACTAGGAGGTAACCTAGGCTTTAATTTGTTTAACTAGTTTTTAATAATAAAATTTAAAAAAAAACTTTTTTACTACTCCAAACACGAGAGAAATTAATCAATGATCCAGTTTTTACAGATACATACCGTTTTTAAGCTTAATGGTCAAATATCACACATAATTATGAAGTTGGAATATTAATTAGGACCGCGTAAACAAAACGAGTTAGGGAGCGTGGGAACGTTAAGAGAAGACAAAGTGAAGAGTCCTTTAGTTGATTCATGTATGTGTTTATGATGGAGAGTTAGTGGTTAGGAGTTAAAACCCCAAATTAATAACATTAAGTTAACCTTTTATCTTCCACACAAACCCCTATTTAAACCTCACTTCTCTTACAAACAACACACCTTCAAACCCCAAATCTCTATTTCTCTCTCAAATTTCGGCCCAAATTCTTCAAGAAATTTTCGAAATCCATTCTGTTTATATCGCCCCATGCGAGTTCTTTAAACCCTTCAGCTCGCCCCAAGCGAATCGCACAGAAAATCGTTTCTTTTTGTTCTTCAAATCTTCAGACCCGATCGCCCCACGCGAGTTCCCTTCCTCTCTAAACTCGCCCGAGGCGAGTGAAGCAGAAACTTCACTTTTCGTTCCAGTTTTCATTTTTCGTCAATCTTCACTCTTTTTTCACACAAATTCCAATGGCTTTAGTATTAATGGAGGAAGGAAGGTTTGAGATTCCTTACACAATGGTGCCCAAGCACTAGAGGGGGGTGAATAGTCTATTTAAAAACTTACTAACAAAGGTCACCCCCAACAACTAAAACAGAGACAAATTGTTACTATCAGAGAAAAACTGTCACAAACTGATATGCTTAAGATATCCTAAGTGCGGAATAAAAGATTAATCCTAAGCAAATCACACACAAGTAATAAACCCAACAAGAATAAAACAATATGATGAAAACTAAGGAGTTAGTTATCAATTTCTACACTAAGCACCAATACAACCTCCTAGTAATTGGATACTTGTTCTGTAACGCCCCCGAAATCCCAATTAAGGTGATCAATCCCAATTAGGGTTCCAGAGTCGTATAATTTCTTATATAGCCACCATGGGCCATAGATACATCCTACTGTCACGTGACTTCCATGCTACTAGTCAATATCAAAAAGGATGTATCAACAACAACTAAAAACTATCATGAACAAACAATAGCGGAAGATAACAAAACGGATGATTTTTATATATAGATAAAACTGAAGATTTTATACAACATATAACAACAGGATCCACTTGTGACGCCCCTGGGATCGACCAGGCCCTGTGCCCGTTCTTCCAGGTCGTACTCACAAGGATAAACAACAAAACGAAACCTTTGAGTTTATATAACAACGAAAAGAACTGAATATACAAAGAGTTTTATAGACAGTTGAACAAAAGAAACTAGGATAACAAAAACTGCCCCAAGGGCTACAACATATCCTAGCTACAACCAAGAGCAACACCAACCACCTCTAAGCTCCATCGCTCTCATCAATGTACTTTCCCACCACAGGCTCACCGGTTGCCTGAAAAGGGAAAGAGGTTAGACTATGAAGTCTAAGCAAGCTATAAAACAAGGGGATCGTTCTTAAGACTAGGTATTGACTTAACAAACCCCATAGAAAAACAACAACAACAAAAAGGGAACAAACGTACTCGTCCCTTTTCTCCAACATCGACATTACTAAAATCAACAGTTGTATACAAAACAATATGCAACAGTGCCAACCACACTAAACCACCAAATGTTAGCCAACCTGCAACAAAACTTGTCCATGTGCCAACCCGCATAGACAACATAACAAAGTGCCCACTCCGGCATTAAACAACAACAAAGGGATGTAAAACATTATCCCTTATCAACATACCCACATATTAAACAGTTGTATATAAATTAATTATTCAACACAAAAGTGCCAACCGCACTAAACCATAATGTGCCTAACGCACCATACCACATATTTGCCAACCTGCAACAATAACCAAGTTAATGTGCCAACGTACCAAGTCCACAATTTATATGCCCACTCCGGCCTTTAAACAACAAATCTACGTAATATATACAGTCGTATAAACCAAAATTATACCACCATAGTGCTATCAGCACTAAACCACCATATAACTGTGCCATCCTGCAACAGAAAACATTAATGTGCCACCCACACAAACAACATAATCATCAATTATATAAAATGCCCACACCGGCATATAAACAACATAATTGCTCCTGCTTCAAAGCACCGGAGACTTAACATAAAAATTTCTCCTGCTTCAAAGCACCGGAGACTTAACATAAAAATTGTTCCTGCTTCAAAGCACCGGAGACTTTAAACACACACGTGCCCAACACACGAATACCCCTACTTCAAAGCACAGGGGTCAAATACCCCGCTTCAGTAGTGCATGGGTATGTCCACTCCAAGTGCTACCAACAACACTAAAACAAGCAAAGACAGCAAACAATATTCATCAAGTGCCCACCGCACTGATGAACCAAACTCGAGTGCCCACCGCACTGAGATCACACAACATATAAAATGCATATAAATAAATTTGCCTCTCCGCACAACATCATTTCATAATATCCTGGGAATCCCGAACCCAACCTGACACGGCCAAGGTTAAGGCCGGACTCCCACGGGCGTATACAGTTCAACAGTTCATTTACATAAACAGTGACACCTCGGGAAATCCGAACCTATCTCTTATTATCTAGGCTGGACCCCGAGAGTCTAAACAACAACATCATAACCAACATCATATAAAACCATTGGGATGTTCAGGCCCCGCCTGACACGGCCAAGGCTAAGCCCGGACTTCCACTTGGCATAAACAAAAACAAAGCTCAACAATTAAACAGTGACACCCCGGGAAATCCGAACCCAGCTATTACCTAGGCCGGACCCCGAGAGTCAACAACAACAACAACATAAAACAATTATATAAAATAATATCCATAAGAACCCCACTGGGTCTCCGTCTAAAACGGGATCATAATAAAACAAATATCAACAATAATAAACAATTTTATCTTAATGTGCCCTACGCACCAACACATCATATACAAAACCCCAATGGGTCTGAAACGGGAACAAATAAATCATACATCGTCGATAATCAGAAAATCAGATAATCAAATTCTCAAATTTTGTTTTCTCGCGAAAACAGAATTCCAGGAATTCCAAGATACATCTAAATTAATATAAAAGCTAGCATGGTATGTACATCCTAGTTTTAAATCTATGATAACATGTTTGAAGAATTTATAATATAAAATTTAGGAATTTAAAACCTAAATTATTCTAAACCTGCAAAATCCTAATTCGGCAAAATTTAATATAAGCAATTATATATACTATGTGCCCGCCGCACAAACAACCACTTTACATCAACCCCAATGGGTCTCTGTCTAAAACAGGTTCCATATAAATCAATTATCGACAACAGATACACAAATCCCCAAAATCTGTTTTCTCGCGAAAACAGAACCACATGAATTTTCCAACTTAACATATATAATAATCATGCATATAAAATAGTATCAACCTAAAACGATTCTATGATAACATGAGAGAAGAATTATAAAATAAAAATTAGGAATTTGAAACAGAAATTACTCTAAACATGGAGATTTTTATTTCGGCGAAATTAACAAACTAATTATCAAATTGAATCTACTACTATGTTTAGGAATCGAAACCTAATCATGCTTGGTGTTATTTGCAACCTAACATACAATTAAACAATCATAATATCAAACCCTAGGTTTAAGAACAAATGAAAACCCCACAAGTTAAACAACTTGCCTTTACTAAGAAGCAAGAACACAACAGTGGCAAGGAAGAGGTGAGGTGAGAAGCTTTTTCTCTATCTTCTTCCTTATCTCTTTCTTCCTTTCTCTTTTTCTTCCTCTTTTATCTTTATTCAATTCTCTCTTTTCTCTTTCTTCTTTCTGAACCATTTCTCTCTTTCTTTCTCTTTAGAAAGAGAGAAAAATGTGGGCCTGAACTTAGGCCCAAAACCAACAAAAAACTTAACAAAACAGAGAAAAAAAACTGTTGAAAAGGCCAAACTTCTGTCAAGGTTTCCCGCTTTATTGTTATTCATCCGACAGCCTACTATATACCATTGGAAAGCTCTCGACGTCTTCTTACAGGATCAAGAAACGTATCTCAATTCCGAATCCTGAGTAGAAAGTTATCGCTGTTATAACATGTCTCTGTAAACTAACAAAAAACTGTTGAACCAGCGATATTCGGACATGATTTCCCGCTTCATCTCTATTCATCCAACAGCCTACTATATACCATTGGAAAGCTCTGGACTTCCTCTTTCAGGATCAAGAAATGGATCTCAATTCCGAATCCTAAGCAGAAAGTTATCGCTGTTACAAAATGTATTTGTAAACTAACAAAAATTGAAAACATGAGCTTTACTTGAAGGTAAAACCCGGCTTTTCCAAGCCCGTTCCCAACCAACATAAAAGCTCATTCCACGATATCCTCCGCATAACCATGCGGGCAACAACAACATCCAACAAACGCATACAACGCATAAATAAATCAAACGCATATATCGAACAAACATTCATGCTTTACTTTCGATAAAACAAACATATATAAATATATATCCTGCACACATTATCGAGCGTGTAATTAACACACGAACATAAAACTAAACTCAAACACGTGTAAACTATACACGAACATGTGTAAACTAAACCTG